TTTTTATATAAAATATTGAGCAATTTCAGATTTTTAAAGAGCGATTATTAGTCACATTAGAGCGTGAGCGGTGGTTATTTTGAATCTGTGTAATGTTGCCGCCTCACTCACGGAAGGAAGAGAGAAGACGCCGCCGAGAAAGCAAGAAGCCATCGAGAGGGATCCCGATTGTGTCCTCAGGGAGGGCGGTACACGCAGGTCGTATCACTTTTTAAACTTTAGTAATTTTGGTAGAATTTGGTGATTGCCGCACCTTAATTGCAGACGACTCGGAGAGAGGAGTAATAAGGGACCGTCTCAGCACGGCCAGAACATTGGCAGCCGCCTCCCCCTCTGGGGAGAGCGATAGAAGACCGCCGATCAAGACGGAACGCCCGGGCTAGCTAATTTGGAAAAGCGCGCCGAACACTCAAAGGATACGCAACCCGCAGGACTCACTGTAATTGGTCGCGGGGTTGCGCGGCTACAATAGACCAATTAGAGTAAGGAGCGGCCCGATAAGAGAGGGGTTGAACGGCCTGCGTGGGTCCGCAAGTGCTCCCGGTTATCACTTGTGCGGTGAGCTATTTGTAAGGAGGACGCAGGATCTCCGGAGCCGTGTACTAGCGAAATTCCTGACACCGTTGCCGGCAAGAATTACGGAGATTAGAGGCAGAGGCTATCCCTGGGATCGACGAGGGATCGTTACGTGGTGAGGCGAGCGTTATCTAATAAGTTGTGTAAAGCCATCGATCGCGATACGTGATATGCGTCTCGAGCGGAGCACACGTTAGGCGTTACTCCGATTTTTCGTTGCCGATATCGGATCGGTCGCCTGTAGGCGTTTCGAGTTAGCGTTGCCGTGAATACGTGCCTTCCGCTCAGACGCTCTAATTTGAGAATGTATAATAGTGTAGTTGCTCGCCCTCGTTGCCGCCAAGTCACTTGTATAATTGTTACTTATTGAGATTTCTTTAAAGTCGAGGCTGGCGTTATTGCGCATTAAAGAACCGTTGCCGTCTCATTTAAACTCATATGATGTACTTGTTCACGAAATAATTTATTGTCGACATAATAAGATCTAGATTTGATCACCAAAATTTTGCTCGGCGAATTATTGCCGAATTTATTCCATGTCGTCGACGACCAACTGATAGTCAGTTTATTGTTATTGCGCCGCATACCGGAGCGCGGAAGGTCAACGCTATAACGTACTTTCTTTCGAACACTTTTGTACAGTCTCGAACAAATATATCGACTTCTCTATTTGTTATCATTACTTATTGTGCATTTATTTCAGCCTCTCTATCGTTCTCCGACAATTTTCCCGCTTACCGCGAACCACTCCCCTCTGCCAATTCCGTTGGCTGAGCTAGTTGTTTAGTTCCGTCGCGAGAATCCGCGTAATCTATAATTTCTTTGTCCGAGCAATTTATCTAACATTTGTGCGAAGAGTGGCACGCTCTCTCGTGCCTGGCGCCCAACGAATTTTTGATAGCGACTAAGATCCTGGCTGAGCGAGATAACTCGTTAACTTGTGTAAAATCTCGAATCACGCGAGAATTATTAACGGACCGCACTATTGCTCCAGTAAGTATGGTTCATCTGAAATAAGAGCTTTCGCATCCTTAGACTTATTTAGGAGAACGCGACGAAGTTGTGCCGACACTTAAAAGTACGGTCACAATATATAGACAGTGCGTAAAGCTCTTTTCATTCAATCTTAATCTTATGAGCGTTACGGCATGGACCGAGTAAACGATTATCTGCATCGAAAGTGGACCAAGCTCAAGGGATACCGTAGATTAGACGACGATCGTGAGCCGCTGTTCCCACCGAGCCCCCCACCATCGAAGAAAAATCAACATTGGGAATTGCCTCCGTCGAAGGATACATCTTCGACGAAAAATCAAACATATTATTGGGAGTTGCCTTCAGAAAATACGTGGAAAAATACATCTTCGACGAAAAACCAAAGATATTGTAATTGGTCTCCAGAAAATACGTCGACAGATACGACTTATGAGCCGACGTCTTCATCATCGTCAAAAAATAGATACGAACGTCCCCGAATTCCCCCCCCCTCCCCCACCATTGAGGAAAAAAGCGTGGGAAGCAGGAAGCAACACGTCATCAAAAGATAATACATCATAAAAATATAAACAATAATGTATGTCTGTACGTATACACATAGATGAATTCGCGGTAGAAAGAATACATAGAAAGTTGCGATAAAAAACTTGTCGCGACAGGTTAATCGCGACAGGTTTTCGGAAAGAGAATTTACCCCCTTTCTCTTCGATTTACCCCCCTCTCTTCAATTACAGAAGTATTACAATCAATTTAATACGCTGATGTGATCAATCTTGCTATATTCGCTTGCACGAACGGATCAAAAATGTTTCGCTTTGACTCCGCCAGAGCGAACTGAAGAAGGAACCCGACGCGTAAGTTTTAATGTTCTATACAGAAAAAAAAAACACTTTTCTTCCTATAACATTATGCATGTAATTGCGTTATTACAGGAAAAAGCGTCGCGCGGTGCGCATACTGAGTCGACGATACGACTTGACCGCTACGGGTTACAAGTTTTTGGAAATTGCAATCAACGTTGATCCACCGAGTTACGTGGAGATCGTTCTGGGAGATCATCACGGACGCGAACTGTCGTTGTCTCTCGAAACGTGGAAAGGTCTCTACGAGCAGCGATGGAATATCTACAAATTGCTGCGGAACGAGTACAAGGACAATTTTATAAACGTTGGACCGCTAACGATCAGAATCTGCACGCATAACGACGTTACGCTCGTACGACTCGAATCTTCGACCGTACACATGACGATGATCGAATCGACGCTGCGCCGAATGTTCGATCTCGACGGATGCATCGACGTAACGTTCGAACGATTAGCCCGACTCGTTGATACGGTCGATGTCAAGTATACGCGCTTCTCCAACGTCGCGAACGCTATACGCGAGAGCGATATCTTCGACAAACGCCAGCTCGTCGATTGCGAGCTCTTGGCTTTAGTTTTTAATACGTAATAAAAAATTACTATGTGAAAAAAGCTGTGTACAACAAAAAAAAATCTGAATACATTGTACGACAAATTACTGTGTAAACCATTATGAATAAAAATATTCTTTGTCTCCATTATTTTACGTACTTTCTTTACTCTCCTACCGAAGAGACGAATGTGTGCTCGATGAATCCTATGCCTCTACGCGCTATCGCTCTGTTTACATAAACAACTCTTCCCTTACCGCAGAGCCTCTTCAAGTCTCGGATCATTTTTCACCAAATTAATTGACTGTGGGCCAATCCTAGGCTTCGCCCAAGCGAAGAATGCTTTTCAGCGTATCTTTACTGTTGCACTGCTTTCTCGGCTCGTCAGTCAGTCAGTATTGCGTCGACTAGAGAAGAAGTGTAATAAGTCAGTGTCTCGTTGTGTTCTTTTTTAATTTTTTTTTAAATTCTAACATGTGCAATCTGAGGGAAATTTTAAAAATTCGTTATAAGTATCCGGTTGATGGGGTAAGTTTTTTTTTACTACGTTTTTATATACGTAATAACGTTTCAATATATTTTATATTATTGATATACATATATTAATCTTTAATTGTTTTTTTTTCAGTACATCATGGTTGACAACCAGAGGGTTGTCCGCCTCCAATTACTCAACGAAGTAGGAATTCAAGTCATACCATTGGTAAGTTCTTTTTTTTTATTTTTTAATATTATTTTAATATATTTATTTCTTTACTAATATTAATGATATTTATTTTTTGCAGGAAGCGTGCCTTATTGACATTCAAATCGACGGATTCATAAATGTGAACCACCGTCGATACGTTCGGGCGGAGCGGCGGTGGTGCCGGGAGGAGGGCGCCTTCCTAATGTGGGAGGAAGGACTACACCTCCCCGAGCTATTCGGGGAGGTTGAATACGAGGCGTACTCCGAACCAGAGTACTAGGGTTGCAAATTTATTTAAATTTATATTTTAAATTTGTATTTAACCCTTACTAGTCTAACGTTTTTTCGGCACCTTTAATGGTCTAACGTGGGCCATTCGTGCCTCGGCGTTTTTTAGACATGTTAAAGGGCTTTAAAAAATCTGCAAAAATTCATGGACCTTCATTAATTCTTCAATTTCAAGAAAAAAAAATTTGTATGTCGAAAATAATTATTTTTGTATATAATTTTGTATTAAAAATGGTGGTACCGCGTGTAAAATCACTCGATCACTTAAAAAATCATAACTTCAATCCAAATGAAGCTATCGACATAAATCAAAGTGGAAATTAAAGGTGAAGAGTGTACCTTTTAGGAAAAAAATAGTACATGCGGCCATTTTGAAAAAAAATGCTTAATTTTTTAACCTCAATATTGCAAAAAATTAGATACAAATTCAACATTAACCCTTACTAGTCTAACGTTTTTTCGGCAAATTCAACATTAAAAAGAGGGAATAAAAGGTAAGAAGTCAAAAATAAGACTAAAAATACGTATAAAATGATTGTTTAATACTACAAATGTTTAATACTATAAAATACATGGAATACAGCACATAACTCTGTGGTCTTCGCAAACTGGATTTCGGCATTTCACGCAACAGTAGGCAGTTTTTTTATCTTTGGTGCTTTTGCACAAGTGGCAACGCTTCCTTTTCAACACAGTGTTTTCATCAATATCGAGAATTTCTTTAATGTTCCCTAAAAGTTGTCGCTGGAGCCCGGGCTTCCGTACGCGTTCTTCTAGATGGGGCGTTACCAACGCCAACGGTCCTTCAGAAAGGCGATTCTATTTCTCGACTCATTTTCGACATTCATGTTATATAAGATGGACGCGTTGACACTCGCTTGGTCGAGCATTCCCAGAAAGAACCGCATCGTCCACCGGTTACTCCGGCGCGCGCATGAATAGTTTCCACACAGCTGGTCGAAAACATCGGTTCCGCATTTTGTCTTATTATAAAACGTTCTAATCTCCGGTTTGTCACAGTCTTCGTCCTTTTTTCCAGTCTTATGCATAGATGATAAAAGCAAAACAACTTTGTTTCTTTTTGGGCAAAAAGACACTAAGACGTTATGACCGTCGTAACCGTACCTAGTTGTACCTGGAGAGGCATTTTTCCGGAAAGATTCAGGTAGTTGACGTTTATTTTTTCTAACAGTTCCGACCATAGTCAAACCGTGATCAATTCGCATCGAATTGAAAATTTCGACGGATGAAAACCAGTTATCGCAAGTTATGTTTCTGGAAGTATTGTAGATGGGCTCGCTCAACTTTCGCACATAATACGAGGGAACGCTTTCCCCACGATTAGCAGGAACTTTCCCGACGTACGGCAACGCGTTAAACATGTAGTATGTTTTCGCGTCATTTATGGACACGATTTTTATTCCATATCTCGCTGGCTTGGATTTTATATAAACCCGAGACGAAAATCTACCGCGAAAACCCAAAAGTTGTTCGTCGATGGTAACGAATTGGCCCGGAGAATAGTTCAGCTCACAATTTTTTATAAATATGTCCCATATTTCTCGTACTGGCGCTAAACCGTCTTCCTGTCGTCTTTCCGCGCGCGTGGATTTGTCATCGAATCGAATTTTACTCGATAGAAATTTGAATCGATGTTGCGACATTGTCACCTTGCACAGCATCGTGCCGAATTGACGACTCCACAATTCACCGGTAGTCACTTTGTTGTTTCTATTCGCGCCCAAATAATACAATAAACCGACAAAAGCTTTCATTTCGATCATCGTAGTCGCTCGATAATACGATACTCTATCCGCGTCAAGTGTGTCAGGTTCGAAACGTACAATTTCCTCGTTTGTATACTTCACAATGTGTTCTAAAATATCGTTCGTAAAAAGAGCGCTCCAATAATCTAAAGGCGTACGCGCCGTAACAGCCATATGCTTGGCTTCAGGTAATATTTCCCTTACAGCTGATCGTCTACCTCGTACTTCGGGGGCCTGTAGGCACCACTTGTATTTGTTTTTTCCATACGCATACTTTCGCCGTCTTCTTTCCTTGTCCGACTGCTCGGGCTCTGACTCCACCTCTTCGTCGTCGTCGTCGTTTTCCGTCTCGAAGTCGGAAACGCTCGCTTCCGATGCGTCACTGTCGTGATCTTCGACGGCGTCCAATATCTCCTCCTCAGAGTCGTCCCCATCAAGATATTCGACATCGTCACGGGGACGAAGGATACGGAGAATATCCTCGCCCGAACGATTCGCCATGTTGAAAACTGCGCGAAAATATGCACAAAATTTTTTTTTCAGCATGCGAATATTTTTACGACTATTTTTAGGTTACAAAAAACACGTTTTAATAGAAAAACTGAGAAACACTATTTACCTTTTCTGCACCTTCAATGGTCTCACGTGGGCCTTTCGAGTCCGAGAGTAACTTGCTGTGACTCTGGCAACGGCTAGACGGGCACTGACACGTCGGCACTCGGCGTAGATGGCTTCTCGGCAACACAAAGATTTTTTACGAACCACTCGCAGCGCCGCCCGCGCCCGTTTTCAAAAGTTGCAGCACTTTCAAATTTCGCCCGGGACTTGAACGACCCACGTTAGACCATTAAGGGTTAAATTTATATATTAATGTTTTTTTTCTGTTTTCAGAAAAAGAAAAAGTTTTTTTAAATTTTTTTAATTCATTTCTATATTATTTTTTATTTTTTAAATTCATTTTTTTATTATTTTTTACTTTTTAAATTCATTTTTTTTATATTATTATTTTTATTATAAACACACACACACACACACACACACACACACA